GTAGCAATTATTTTAAAAATAGAGTATATTCACTGCGCAAATATTAATAATAAAATCCATAAGAAAGAAAACAAGAGTACCCTTCAGTTCTGGCTTTAAAAAATAAATTGTCCCTGGCATAAAAATAAAACTGTCTCCATTGTACTGATGTTGCTGCTACAGTATGAATATGGAGAAAGGCCCTAAAGTACTGAATAAACTACACAAGGGCAACCAGAGCAAGGCCATGGTGAGCTGAGCAGCCAGCTATTTCTGTCTCCACACAACACAACCTTTTACATAACCATCAGCTGCTTAAAGAAATAATTCAGTAATATGTTATTTGTCTGGAAATGTGTAGTAGTCTTACACACCAAAAGTTGTGAATTTTATTTTTCTCTTTTTCTTGTTGTTACTATTTATTTTCAGGTTTGCTCAACTTTCTCTTGATTACCCTGTCTAGGCATTGTACATAACAGCAATATATACAATGTCTTCATTACCAGAATTTATTCTTCCCAAACTTAAAAACTGATCAACAAATAACAGTAACCAGGGTTTAGAGAGCATGGCCCCTTTAAATCTTTTTCCTGAAGAGTGTGTCTAGACTACTGAGTTTTGTCGACAAAAGTGGACTTTTGTCGACAAAACTATACCTGCATCTACACTACCGCTGAGTTCTGTCGACATAACGTTGACGCTGGTAAACCTCATTTTACGAGGCATAACGCCTTCTGTCGACAGAGTTCTGTTGACGGAAGGTGTTATTGCCTGTAGGGTTGCGTCTAGACTACAGGGTTTTGTCGACAAAGCAGCTTGCTTTGTCGACAGAACTGAATGTGTCTAGACGCTCTATGTCGACAGAAGTTTTGTCGACAGTATCTGTCGACAAAACTTCCGTCGACAAAACCCTGTAGTCTAGACGTACCCGAAGAGGGAAGTGCTGATTGTTCCAGAAAGAGGAAGCGCGGTGCAGGGCCAATTTAGGGAAAAAGGTGTCCTGGGCAAACTTGTGTTTTGGTGCCCCCTGGCTCTTGTGGGCATAGCACCACTCATTTCCCCTAGCACCTAGGGGCCTCCAACCCCTGAACCCCCATCCTGTGGTCTCTTTACCACTAGCCCCTGCATTGTGCCTCTTTGCCCCTAACCTCTGCACAGTGCCCCCTTCAACCCAACCCCTGCACTTTGCTCCTACCTGTGCCCCCAACCCCAGCCTATGCTTCCAGCATGTCCTGCCACACTGCTCCGTCCCCCCCATTGCAGTACCCTCCACCCCCTTGGCCCAGCAACACCCGTGTCCAGTTGCCCCTCACCCTCTGACTACAGTGCCCCAGGCATGGGCCCAGTTTGCCCAGCCTTAAGGCCAACCAGGAGCAGTGGGACAGGGGATTGTTACCAAAGCCACTGAAAAACCACAGAAATGTGGGCTAGTTTTTGGTTTGTAGCTTGTTGTATCATGTTGCTGCTTCTTCCTTTTGTAACTGACTCC